CATTGGAAAAAATTTCTTCCTTAGATCTAATGGATATTGATGGATATTGATCCAATTGTCCTTGTGCACTAAAATGACGCCACAGGAGGCAGATGATGCCTGGGACCCTGCTCCGGCCCTGTCCCACCACGCACCGAACATCCAGACGTCGCTGGCTGTTGTGAAGCGGCGGAAGTTGATGGACTCGGGTGACATCCACTTGATGGGGAGACGGGTGACAGACGCTGGAAGGAGAGACAGGGGGTGGCCGTGCTCACTGCAGGAGGGATGGAGCCACCCCAGCGCAGGCAGGGCAGCGAGGTCTCACCACGGTCTCACCCCAGCCCCTTCCCACCACCCCGTCCTGCTGTTGCAGGGAGCCCTGTTGCATGCCAGCTCTGCTGTCCGGAGAAATCCATGCTCCGACCTCAGAGGGCTGGAACGAGCCCCAGCCCCGTCACGCAGGCCTCACCTTTATAGTACTCCTCATCCTCGATGTACCTGGAGAGGCCGAAGTCGCCCAGCTTCACGCACTCCGGGGAGGCCACAAGGACGTTCCTCACAGCAATATCCCTGCAAGGAGAGAGACTCTTGGATGGGGAGAAGGGATGGAGAAGGGATGGGGAGAACGGATGGAGAAGGGATGGAGAAGAGAGGGAGAAGGGATGGTGATGAGAGGGAGAAAGGTAGGCAAAAAGGGTCTGCAGCAAAGGATGCTGCCAGCTTCTGCCTCTGCCCGCTCCTGCTCCCCACCTGCCTGTTACCCGCTGCTGCAGTCCCTGCTGTCTCCTGTCTCTCCCTGCATCCCACCTGGCTCCTTTTCATAGATTTCATAGATTTTCTAGGTTGGAAAAGACCTTAGAGATCATCCAGTCCAACTGTCCTTAATCTCCCATTAAACCATATCCCTAAGTAGTTCATCCACCCTTTTCTTAAACACATCCAGGGATGGGGACTCAACCACCTCCCTGGGCAGCCTATTCCAGTGGCTGACAACCCTTTCAGAGAAGAAATTCTTTCTAACATCCAACCTGAATCAGTTGAATTCAGGTTCAAAGTCAGCTCTCCCAAAGTCCAGCTTGGCCGTTTTAGTGCTCCCCCTCCTAACTTCCCCTAGAAATGAGAATTCTATTATCTCATGGTCACTATGCCCCAGGCATCCTCCAACCATCACATCTCCCACAAGACCTTCTCTGTTCACAAACAGCAGGTCTAGGGGAGCACCTTCTCTAGTCGATTCACTGACCAGTTGCAATAGGAAGTTGTCCTCCACACACTCCAGGAATTGCCTAGACTGTTTTCTGACTGCCATGTTATACTTCCAGCAGACATCCGATAGGTTAAAGTCACCCACAAGGACAAGGGCTAGTGAGCACGAGACTTCCCCCAGCTGTTTAAAAAATAGTTCATCAGCCTCACTGTCCTTTCCCTTCAGCCCTACCTGTGCACGCAGTTGATGGCCTCCAGGTAGGCCAGGGCTTTGCTGATCTGCAGCGCGTAGAGGATGAGGATGGGCACGGCAAGGCAGTGCTTGTTCTGCTCCAGGTATTGTCCCAGCTGCAACGGCATGAACAGGGTTGGGGGGGCTCAGAGACCGTGCAGAGGCAGGAAGGGGGGTGGTGGGATAGGATGGGACGGGACGGGTTCCAGCGGTGGGACTTCGCTCACCTCTCCGTAGGGATAGAGCTCCATGATGATCCAGGTGGGCTCCTCTTCCGCGATGCCGATGAGCTTCACGATATGGGGATGGTCCAGCTTCTTCATCAGCACTGCGGGAAGATGCTGTCAGACACCCCGCAACTGGGGGGACTCCCTCCAGGAGCCCAGACCCCTGTCCTGGGGCTCCTACGAGCAGGTCTCTGCCATGAAGCCAGAGACAGAGCAGGAGGAATTGCCAGCGATAGCCCAGTACATCCCCAATGGGGTTGAGGCTCCTGGTTTCCAGCTCCTCAGGGATCTACATCCCGATGGTGTCCGTCTGCTCTCATCCAAGGATTCCGTAGCTTTTCTCCAACCTCCCCCACCCCAGTAGCCATCCCTCCCATAAACCAGGTGTTTTGGAGAACAGCCTCATCACAGGGGTGAGGACATGGGACATCTTCCTTCTGCTCTGTCCTGCAATTTGTCCCCAGCAGGGACCAGAATATGCCAGGGCAGGGCTCTCCCATCCTGGCCCTAACACCCCACCATGGCAGGTCCCTCAATCTGTCCTCTGTCCCGTCCACCACAAAAGGCAGCAGGACTGCCCTGGCGTACCTGCTTCACTCAAGAACTTGTCCTTGTTCTCCAGGCTGCAGTCCTTCTTACAGGTCTTCACAGCCACGTTGACCCGCTCCCCTTTCTGCAAGGAGAAGGAGGG